GTTTGTTTTATTCTTAAGCGTTATAACATATAATATGTTATAAATATATTGGGTCTTAAATCGAAATAATGCATTTTAATTTTTAGTTGTGATTTTCGAACGCAGTTGATTTAATTTTGTTTTTTGGACGCCCACCATTTGTTTTCAAACGGAAGAATTTGTTGAATAGCCTATGGCCTGCTGATAAATGCAGTTTGTCAATAAATTGAATTTGATTTGCTTTTTCTGTGTTTCATTTGCTTAATTATTATAATCCTATTATTTCTGTTCTGCTAGTGCTAATTAATGTTTAATATTTCTAAAGATATTTTAAACTGTAGTCAAAGTATAGGCTACAGTGTTGCTTTTTAACGCGCTTCTCTGCACAATGAAAATAGACACAGCGGCTTCTTATCAGCCTTTTAATGATGTGCTTTAAGGTGTATGCATGCATTAAAAACAAAAAAGGTAAGTGAATGATAGGCTTCTACTAGGCTATTAAAATGTATATTTAGCTCCTTCCTCTTTATAGCCTAATTGTTATTTTCCGATATTTTCGATTATCGTGTGGTACTGATTTTCAACATCGACATCGTGATTCTTAGGAGACATCGTCGATATATGATAATATCGTCATATCGCCCAGCCCTAGACCGTATTAATTACAATGAGCTTTTGTCTCTGGTCATGCTGGTCCATAGGAAATGTGATGACATCAAGCTGCATCTTCAGGAGAAACATTTGACTGCAGAACATGGGGTGGAAAAGCAGTTGACCTCTCGTCATTTACAAGGTGCTGTGAAACAAGGACGATAAATGGAGACGTATTCAGAAGCCTTGAAGGTTTGATTGTCACCATTATCTTGTCCACTCAGCTTTTCTACAAAATCATTTCTAGCATTTCACACCCTCCTTTTCCTGGAAGGTAAATCACTGGATCTTTGGTAATTTCCCAGCCCGCTGACATTCTCCCGTCTAAAAAAAACCCAGAGGCTCATGGGATAATTACCGGAGACAGACATGAAGCAGTGTTTTGATTTGGGGATGAAGGAGTTATGAAGGTCATCTCTTGGTCATGTGATTATGACATATCTATGAAGACAAAGGCCCGGTTCTTTATAAAACTGCTTTTGAATATGTAGAAGGTCACACCTTTGGATAAGTTAGAAATAATTTTAATGTTTTGAAATAAGACAGAAGATCAGTTTATGCTACTCATTTTCCAGGGACCTGCCTGACATTCTCACTAGAGGTACATTTATCTGAAATTTCACTGAAAAGAGATCGAGTCCAGATTTACTCTCAGATTATCAGCAAGCCGTCATTTGAAGTCCTCACGCTCTAAGGATATGACATTTATTTACTTTGTTCATTTTTTTCCTGCAATTTGGACTGCCTCTCTTTCAAATGTGGGCTGTGCTATTTGGCTGAAAATCGATGATGAATTCTTTGTGGCAGATAATATTACAGCGCAGTTCCCTGGTTATGAGGACATTACTGGACTCTCTTTGGTCCCTGATTCCCTGTCATGAGTCTATAAACGGCAGGAAACCTGTTGCTTCTGGGAGAACATCCAAGATGCCTTCAAGTTGAAGCAGCAAGTCTCGGCATCACCGTGACGCCTGTCTGCATCCAAGAGGACGTCTCACGAGAGCTTAGCTCCCCACGTTAACAAGATCTGAGCAGAAGAATGTAAAGTGTGTTCTCCCTAGCTTTCCGAAACAATGCCAGAGCAGAACCTTGCATCTAAACCATCTAATGCATCTAATGCAAATCAGTTTTTCAGTAGTTCATGCATATTCAGGTAAATCCCATATTCCTCTTTTATTGACACGGAAAATCGAAATATATAAATATGGAAAAGGTATTTTAAGAGAATACCTGTACTATCATTTGAAATAATTTAACATAAGAGTTACATCTTAAAAATGTTATACGCAGAGATCGCTTGCTATGGATGATAGTAGCATCTATATTGACAGGTGTAGGTGTAACAAGGACCGTGGACGGTGCTGAATGAATCGTGGGGCGAAGCTCCAGCAGACTTTGTGAAGGTATGCAAGGCCTGCTCTGCTCTCTACCCTTCATATGCTATTTTATGTTTCTGAATACAAGCCCCCGACTGCTGCTGACACTTTGGCAACTGAACAGCTCCTTCCCAGAGGTCACTGGTGTTTAATACGTTTTAGTAATATTAACGAAGCTTGACTCTATAGTACCACACAGTGGTCATTCTGTGTACTGCAGCTATACTTGGGTATAACCCGCAATAAGGGTCAGACAGCGTCCCACGGGCTGGATCTACCTTTTCAGGTGCCTTAAGCAAAGCTTTACTGTTGATGCCCCCCTACCAAGAAACCTGATGATCATTTTGACTTTCTCCGCAGCAGGTAATTCGGGGGCCCTTGGCAACTGCCTGATCTGGGCACGGCTAGAGTCGACCATGCCTGCACATAAACAGCGAAACTGGTCCTATATGGTTCAATTATTTATTTTTGTGTGATTTTATATATAAATATAAATATGTGTGTGTGTGTGTGTGTGTGTGTGTGTGTGTGTAGCATAAATATATGCCATACCAGTCTAAAGTTTGGACACACCAAGCCACCTACAAAGGAGAGAGATAATGTTACACCAAATGATTTGGCCACCTGACCTAAACACAGCAGAAGGGTTTTGGAGGAGTTTGACCTGAGAGTGAGGAGGCCACCTCATGAGGCTGGGGTAGAGGGGACAGTAGGGTCAGACAGTCCCTGGAGCTATTGGGGTTAAGGGTCTTGGTCATTTCTTGGTCAGAATCATTCTGCGGAGCATGGGATTTGAACCAGCAACCTCCTGAGTCCCAATCCACAGAGCAGCCCCCCTCCCCAGTCATAATTCCATATGTGTTATTTTATAATTTTACTGTCTTTATAACTATTCATTATACTAAAATGTAGAAGATAGTATAAATAAACCTTTCTATGGGCAGGGATGGACATAACTGGAACGCCAATACGTATTCACGTTTGAGAACGATACGTGCAACAATCAATCGTGGTAACAGTGTAAATGCGTACTTATTTTATGTGCATTTGTGCTGATATGAAAACAAAATATAATGCATTTTAATAACAGGTTAAAATGCAAGGTATTTTCTTGTCATAGCAGCGCAAATGCACATAAAATAAGTACGCATTTACACTGTTACCACGATCGATTGCTGCACGTATCGTTTTTCAAGGTGAATACTTATGTCCACCCCTGTCTTTCCAACCTTTTGACTGGTACTGACTTCATTTGACTTTTGACTTCATGGCTTTGTCTGAACCCCCTTGTTCTGATCAAGCCCTGTGCAGCTGCCTAGTTTGTCTATGCTTGCATCCAGCCCTGAGTGAGTGAGGGTGGGGGGGATTCAAAATGAACCTTACAAGATTGTGTTCCTAATATGGTGGGAAATGAGCTCACCTGACACGCCGATTGGTCCAGTCGATCCATGCACTCATGTCAATCAGCTATGATTGGGCATTCAGCTCACCTGACACGCCGATTGGTCCAGTCAATCCATGCACTCATGTCAATCAGCTATAATATGGCATTCAGCTCACATGACTGTTGGCTGAGCTAGTAAGGGGCCTTTGACAGCCTCAGCCACACTGATGGAGGGCCACAACCACCACACTTGTAAGCTGAGAGCTGGTTATAATATTGTAATAATAATAATAATTTAACCTTTATTGTCCCTCATGGGGAAATTCTTTTTACGCCTCCATCAACTTGCTCTTTGTAGAACAAGCTGTCTGCGAAGGGCGGTCACCTGTTGGGGCACCCAGGGAGCTGGGGGTTAAGGGCCTTGTTGGGGCGCCC